AGTTATGCATATGTAGATGTATCTCTCAAATCTGCTACTTGTATCTGTAGAAGATGAATTCTTACAAGTGTCAGTGCTAAGTCAGGCTATATGAATTTGCAATTCTGAGAGATTCTGCCAAACCGACCTCCACAGGGGCATGGCCACTTACAGAGCTATCAGCTAGGTATGAAAAGAGCCGATTCCTCAAAGGTCTCATCAATAGAGGGTGCTCTCAAAGTTCTGAATGTTAGCCAATCCAAGTAAAAAATAAAATTTAGTAAAAAGAAAAGTGAAACCGCACTATCAGTGAAGCTGGATGTTTCATCATGTAGCCAAGAGCTATTTCCTTCTTGGTGACCTATGCTTTTCCCACCTTCTGCTTATACAAGACAACTATTCAAATCAGCAAGACAAATAAAGCCAACACCACAGGAAAATAAGAATAAGTCCAGCTGTTCAATACTTTCTTCTTGGCTTTTGAAAAGTATTATCTTAAAATACCATTCTCAGACTGATACCTAACAAGTATGCTAAAAGAAATCTAGCCATTTCCTGGAATGAATGAGCTAATCAATCAAGCTCCCAAGCAACCCCATGAGGGAGGCAGAGTGACCCAAACCAGCTAAAATGGCCCCGTGAAGAAGCATTCTGTGTGGGCTGTGATACAAGCCGACCTGCATGCGTCTGTTTCTCTCCTTCCTGCCTCCACCTGCCTCTCTTTGTACCTGCTCCCCAACCTCAAAGTCTCTCATGACCAGAAAGAAAATAGCACAACTATTTTTTTCAGAATCAATAATTACAATCCAGCCTCACAAGTGAATAGGAGATTAAATGAACCCTCAAATTTAGTTTGTAATGACATATACATGGTAGCAAAAAGAAGCATATCCTCTTTAATTGAAAAGATAAAGCTTTACTTAAAGCAGGTACTTTTCACTTTTGTGCAAGGCGACTGTCACTGCATCATCCAGCTCTGTCACTGAGAACATTCCTCTCAACAGTCATGGCCATGAGAGCCTAGCAGAGAGAAGGTGAGAACTCCACAAGCAATCCCCCTCTATCGCTCACACCACCTTACAGAACAGCTTGCAGACTCATTTATCAACAAGAAAGCAAGGAGTCGAACAGCTACACAGAAGGAAAAAGCCATTTCTCTTTAAAGATCCCTGGCTCAGCAGCAGTCCATCTTGCCCAATATCTTCTCTGGCCCTTCTCTAAGACTGAAAGTGTTAGCTCCACCCTAGGGAACGCATTTTAATTGCAGCTGCAAGAAGTTCCTGTTAACACCTTTACTGTTTATAAATTCCAGTGATTTAAGGGGCTTCATTCTGTGTTTCATAGCCCTTTAGATTTTAGGATCACACAGAAATGCTTTCAGTCTGAACATGTCCAGTGCAGGGTTATTTCTAACAGAAAAACCAGAAACAACCAAAGTATCGAAATGAGGAGCATGGTTAACTGTGAGACTTACTCTTAAGCAGCCATTAAAAGTAGTTTCTAAATGTTTTTAGAAATGCCTGTGAGATGATGGTAAAATGAACATTACAATTAATAGTCCAGCCTTGTCTTTGGGAGATTACTCTACCTGACTCTAAGGTAAAGTATTCTTAGCAAACCCGCTGGACACTCAGCCAGCCACTTTCTCCAGCAGAGCTTTATCAGGATATCAAGCTGATGCTGTGATCTCCAGCAGAAAGAATCTGCATGCACTATATAACCTCAGCCACATCCAAAACATGCATTTAAGAAGTCTATAAGGAAAGAAATCAACAAACATTTTCAAAATCATCTTTAGTGAACATATAGAATGGAATCCTAATTAGAGTAAGTTATACTCCATATACATATGTCAAAATGCACTCTACTGTCATGTATGCCTAAAAGAATAAAATAAACATAAAACATGTCACAAACTATACATTGCAAATTATATATCTATATCTAGAAAAGCTAATTGGTTTCATCTTATAAACCAAGTACAGTATATCAGTATCTAAGGATTCTGAGGCCAAAGAAACTTGATTTGTTAGTAATGTTTAATACTGTCATGGAATATGTATGCATGTTGTTATGATTTGAATCTGGAAAGCATCTCAAAGTCTCGTGTGTGTTTGAAGGCTTGGTCCCCAGTGTAGCAATATTCAGAGGTGAGGCTTTTGGGAAGTCCCTGGATCATGAGGGTTCCAGCCTCATCACTGAATTAACCCTCTCATGGCTTCATACTTTGAAAGGACTACTGGGAGGAGATGAAAACTGTGGGAGATGGGACCTAATTGAAGGGAGTGGGTCCTTGGGCATGCCATTGGGTACTGTATTTTGTCCCCAGATCCTCCTCCAGCCCTCCCTCCCTCTCTGCTTCACCATGACATGAGCAGCTCTGCTCCATCACACCCATCTTGCCATGTTCTATCTCACCCCCAGCCCAGAGCAATGGGGTCAAGAGCCAAATACCCAAACTTCCTAAACTGAGCCAAAGTACACCTATCCTCATTTAAGGTGATTTCTTCAGGTATTTCATTACAGTCATCAAGAGCTAACACAATACCATGTATTTCCTGACCTCGATGAAAATGTTCTATGATAAAGTAGATGTGAAAGGAAAAAATGTGGAGGAATATCATTGGCAGAATAGTACCCCTCCAAAGACGTCTACGTCTTGATCCCTGAAACCTATGAACAGGGAACCTTGCATGGCAAAGAGGAATTAACACTGTGGGTGGAATACGGTTTTTAATCGTCTGTCTTAAGATGGGGACACTAGCCTGGGCATGTGAGTGGGCCCAGTGTCATTACAGGGTCTTCGCCGTGGCGGAGACGAATTGGAGAAGACATGCCGAGACATGCTGTGTTGCTGAGGAAAGCAAGTGGCCTGTAGAAGCAAGGGAGCAAGTGAATGGCTCTACTCCTGGAGCAGCCAGAGGAAAACACAGCCTGCCAATACCTTTACTCCATCTTAGTGAGACGCTGGCGAGACTTCTAAATTACAGGACTAGTAAGTGTGTACTGTCCTAAGCCACTAAACTGGTGGTAATTTATTATAGCAGCCAAAGGAAGCTAATACAGGGGTGGGAAGGAGAGAAGACAGGGAAAGAAAAATAGCCACTGTGTGGAATGAGGTGCTCCACATGGAGCAATTTCCTTTTGTCATGTTAAACCTGATTAACTGGGAAACACCACCTAAACCAACCAGCACAGGAAAGTCCCCTGACTTACAGGGTGAAGGGACCAAGGACGGCTTCAGTATTCCTCACTCAGGCCTGAGTCTTCCCAGAATTAGCTCAGCCATAGCAGCTCCAGGCCCAGTATATTAGACACCAACTGTGTGACAGCAGTTGAACTTAACTAAAACCATCTCCAAATCCTCCTCCTCTGCACGTGAACCAAAGGATCCACAATCGTGGGAAGAAAACAGTCAGGTTTTCATGGCAGAAACACTGCTTCAGCTGGGTCTGGTCAGGAAAGAGAAATGTCCACACTGAAAACCATGGTCTGGAAGCCAAGCCTGCCAATGCTGAGCAGCTGTGGCGGTAACTGATTCTGCTGGGTCCACATTCCCCATCTGTGTAGCAACAGCTGTCTTGGTTCTCTACTTTCTAGCTAATAACTTCACTAATCCAGAAAAGCTGGGGTCTCCCAAAGAAACACACCTTGGAGCTGTGAAATGTGAAATAAAACTCTTAATTTTCTTGTATACAAATTATGCATAACACTGAAGACCTTCCCCAATTTAGACACTGCAACACTCCCCCAGATGTCACGTGAGTCCTTCCTAAGAACCCGTGTTCATTATAGATGTTAAAAGCAGCTACATAAGCAACAGGCTGCAATGGCCTTCCTGTTTCTAGTCCTCTCCCCCTTTCCAGGCACAAATAACTGAGAAGATGCAAGAAGAAGAGCACAGGACCACAGTGAGAGATGAAGGCCAATGCTAGCTCCTTCACTGCTGGGTTTTGAAAGCATATCATCCCTTCACCCTGAGCCACTTAACTTCTTCAACTCTAAAAGGAGAAAGCATGAGAATTCATGTCTCGCAGGTAGCTCTGAGCGTGGCATGGGTTTGCTGCTGGGAAGGGTCCTTGTCACTTCACAAGTGGTGAGCATGGGTGAGTCAATGTGACAGTGGCCACTTCATATGAGGAGATGTGTATGACAGAAAAGAATAAGGGTCACTAGTTGATTTCTGTTGTTCAGGTTCTTCATTTCTCCAACAGGGCGACAGTACCTACATGGGGAAGATCTGAGTGGCCAGACATTTAGCTCCTGGCATAGTAGCAGCATATAAGAGATGCTCAATAAATGCAAACTGTGAGCTTGGTGACCCACGGTCCCTTCCACACCATAGATTCTCTGGGATTTCACAGTAGACACCATTTCAAAAATCATGTTAGAGCAACACATTTGCAGATCCTGATGAGGCCATGTCCCCCTGTGTAGACCACCAGAAGGAGTAGCAGCAGAAGTGACTTTAAGGGTGATGTTGCCCTAAGTGATGAGCAGACATTTTTAGAGAAGGAATCACTGGACCACAATTCTGATGCTCAGTAATTGCACCGTGAGCAGTGAACACGTGGTCATTTGGAGATAATAAAAGAATACAGAAGGCAATCATCTCCGGAGCCCTGCCATATGCTGGTCAATGGAGGGCTATGCCTCTTGCTCTCAAACGTCCCAACAGCTGGGTCTCATCACACCTGTTTCACCAGGTGATACACTTACAGTAGTAATTCAGATCTGAAGACACAAATATGTATCCCTAAAGCTGCACGCTCTCCTCTAAATCACTGTTTTTTGTTTTCATGGTAAAAATGGGCCGTGTTTTCTGTTTGCATCCTTTTACACACTGTTCCTTGTCTTGGAAGAGAGAAATGCCACAACTTCCAGAAAGAGAGCATGGAGGAAACCGAGGCATTCCCTGGACTCCGTGTGTGACAGCTAAGGGGCCTTAAAAGCAAAGGTGATGCCCAAAAGCAGTCATTTCCAGCCAGCACCTCCACCTCACCTCCCCCACGTCCCCTTACCTTGAAGGAGGCGTGCTGCTCCATGTGCCGCAGCAGCTGAGGCTTCTGGGCTGCCGTGTAGTCACACACTGTGCACTTGAACTGCTTTCCTGGAAAGAAGCGGAGGACAAGGTGAGGACCAGGCCGGCAGCCCCTGCATGTGAATGAGGGCCAGGCATGGAACCGGGTACATGCAGTGTCCCTTGCCAGGTGGGAGCCAGCATCTCAGGTGGGGACAGGAAGGAAGTGTACAGATGCAACGCGCAGGATGCTCAGTCTCCGACAGGTGGGACTGGAAAGGAGCCTACCACTGCAGAAGGAACAGCCAGGTCCACCAGGAACTTCCCAACCCCCACATCGACACTCAGCAGGCTCCTAAAGAAAGAGCGGGGTGTGCCCAGCCACCTGGAGAGAGGGCAGAGAGGAGGAGGGGTACACACAGGTGAGAGCTAGAAGTCAAGAAAATGGAGCAGCTGGATCTTCCTCTGGAACCCTGAGGGTGAGGTCTGCAGGAAGTCAAAAGCTGAGCCTGGGTTTGGGGGCTAGAATGTCAAGGGCCTGAGTATCTCACTCAGGAACTCAGATGGGATCCTGAGAATCAGAGGAAGCTGCAGAATGACATTCTTCAAGCAGCAAGCTTTGTGTCACAGAACTGCTAAAGCTGCTAGGAGTGTAAACAGCGTTGTTGGGGGAATGCTAGAAAGAAGACTACAGAGAGTATAAAGCACCGCTCTCTCGGGAAGATTAATGTTTCAGCGATATTTAAATATTCAATAATGGGATGAACATGTAAAACAAATTAATGGATATATACAGGGCATACTAAATTATTTGTTCCTGATTAGTGTAAATAAAATGTCCATTTGCAACAATAAAATGCATGCAACCAAACAGAAATATGTCCTACTTCCCATAGCAATAAACCGTTCACCATCAGCTTCCCAAGGCACAAGCATCCTGGGAACACAGCTATCTCCCTGCAGCATGGCTCCCAGCAACACTGGCTCTTCTGAGCATTCTCCTCTTTGCCCTCTCAGGCCAGCTGTGTGGCTGTCTACAGCTGCAAACTCTGTGCTCTCCAGCTGCGCACCCCTGAATCCAACCAAAACTGTCTGCTGCCAGCAGCAGGCTGCAAACCCCATTCTCACCAAGGTAACCACTGAGCTCCAGGAGGCCCAGCCCGTGGTGGATTTTTCAGGCCTGACTGTAGAGGACAGCTCTACTGAGTGTGACTGCTGTCAGTCCATGCTCCGGAAACCTCTTTGGACCCATGACACTCCAGCTCTCTGGGGCTCTGACTATTCATTCTGAGTATTTTTGAGGTGGTTCCTGTCCACTTTCTTTTACACCATGATGTTCCAGTGTTCCAGCCGCACAACTATTCTTTTCATTCAGCAAGCATCCTTGCATATGACTGTGCCCCACAGGTTTTTATAATCCTTTGATGCCAAAGTCTACACTACTCTGATCTCTTCCCCAAACCCGAGACTTAAGTATCCAACTCTACTGGCTTGCTCCAAACGTCCTGAGGTAGACTTGTTATCTTCCTCACCAGATAGGCTCCAGCTCCAGTCCTCCTAGTTCAGCACCCACATGACCACCAAGTCAGATACCTGGTGGCATTTTTCAGCATCGTTATGGCCCTAACTTTCACTGTATGTATTTATTTTTTTCAGCATCTGATTTCATGTCCTAACTACTCGACATGTCTTGTCTATTTCTGTTTCTATACCTTCACACTGGTTTGGATCCTCCTCATTCCTTTCCTAGACAATCGTAAGAGCCCCTAAGCTGGTGTCTTTGCCTTTGTGAGACCTACCCATCGATCCACCATCCAGCCATCCACTGTCCATCATCCACCACACATAACCAGCAACAGGCCCAAATGCAGAACAGCTCAAGTTCCAGAGCACAACACAGAAGGTCCTCCAGAATCAGAACTAACCCCCTCTTTCTGTGACCTCCTCTTGTGCCTGTCCCCTCTGTAAATGAGCTTGATTAACACAGCTACTTCACCTCTCATAACTATATGCCTACCTCTGGGGTCTCGGACCCCTGAGATTTTGCTGACATTTTCCATGGCTGGGAAGCAGTCTTTCAGCATCAGGCCATTCTTTACTTTAACTCAAAACTCAATTTGAACAACATCTCTCTAGCAAAGACGTTGTCTGGCCAAAAGCCAGCCCCTACACACCAGCTATATACCTCAGTCTAGGTCTCCTTATACAGCACTATAACCACCCGCTTACAATTCAGGGGCTGCCATAAACTGCCCACAGGCAGGAACCATGTTTTGCTCATCTTGGTGACCCCAGGACTTGTGTGCATGCAAGACTGGACATATCCATGCATTTTACTAAGCTAAACTGGGCAAGGAACAAAGAGGAAAGTTTGTGCATCTTGCATGAATAAATACCCTTGATAAAAGTAGGGGGGAAAATTCCAAAATCCAAATGGTATAAACATCAATACTATAATTGTAACTATCATTCCAGGTACAAATTAGACTTTACTGATTCTCCACGTCCAAAACGTGGGAAAAATTTGCACATGTAAAGGATGTTATCATCAGAGAGCAACTGAAACCTTCTCTTAAATACAGTGTCCTTTTTTTCTTACACATAAGGCCACACACTTCTACACATCATCAGTACAACCTCATTCACGCACACTTCTCTGCTGATACATGAATCACCATGTAAATACGCCATCCCTGTGCCAGGCAGCCTGAGGAAAGTGGTGTTTGGATCCTTCACCATCACAGTGAGTGGAGGAAAGTGGAAGAACCATTCTCAGAGGTGATAAATATTTTGTCACTCATAATCAAACACTCAGATCAAAGAGTAAAAGATCAAGTGCTAAAAAAGGAAACTGGAAATGCGTAAATGGAGCTGCCTCGCTCGAGATCAGGAGTCAGCCTGGCCGATGTACGATTCTCCAAGCTCTGCAGCAGACAGGAAAGAAGAGTGCTCCTAAGAGGAGGAGCCTCAACACTGCCAATGTTTTCAGCAACCCCTGACAGCCCTGATCAAACAGGCCAGGGAGAGCATTTGACATGATCTGCTGCTGCCTAATTAAAATAATGGAATGCAGGTTCATGACTAGTCATAAAGGAGAGGTGATGTGAGATTATCAGGTTGCACTCTTATCAAGAGACTCCTGAGAATACAGGAAAGTGGACAGGAAAAATTAGCATTTACTACGGCTGCAGTGACCTCAAAGGGCAACAGATGAATGTCACATGCCTGTGGATGCAAGTCACATAGCATCGCAGCAAAAGAAAATAATTATAAAAAAGAAACAGAGACTGATTTTTAAAAATCACTCACTTTTCACACATTGTACCTGGCTAGTTCTACCTACTGACCTCCTGGGCACTGTGAACACTGCCAGCCCATGACACACACAGTCTAACTGTGCACCCAAGTCTGCGAATCAGGGAGCACTGCCCACCAATGGTGCTAATGGTTAAGGAACTAGGATCAAAAACCTGAACAACTTGCCAGGTCACAAAGTGGTAGGTGGCAGAGCCCAGATTTAAACCTTGGTCTATTCGACTGCAAAAATCCTGTTGACAGTCACACAGTCCTTTCAGCTGATGTTGGTGCCTTACAACTTCCCCAAGGCAAGAAAAAATTTACACCAGTGTCACAGTTTGAATGTGAGGTATCCCCACTCAAAGCTCCTATTAATGCAGAAATGTTCTGAGGTAAAATGATTGCATAATGAGAGCTGTGACCTCACCAGTCCACGGTTGTTTGAACAGGTTAATTGGGCGGTAGCTGGAGGCAAGTGGGGCAGAGCTGGAGCAGGTGGGTCACTGGGGCTACCCTGGCAGGGCTCATCTTCCCTGGGCCCCTTTCCACAACCCCTCTGCTTCCTGGCCGCCTCACCTTGGGCCTAGACCAGTACAGCTGACTGCCTACGGAGACCTTCAAAATCATGAGCCCAAACTAAATTTTCCCTCAAGTTGCTCCTGGTCATGGTAATAAAAAGCTGACCAAAACAACCTGCAACGGGCACACTGGTGCCACTCACACACAACAGTGGCTTGTTGCACAGAATGGCTGTCCACTCAAAAGGGCCACCTGAGGGGTCAGTGGCAGGGGATGTAAGTGCTCTGTCTGGCTTTGTCCAGCTCACCCTGTATGACCCTGGGCTCATTCTTCTTTGCTACACAGAGATCTCCTCAGAAAAAAGCAGGGAGTCAACACTGCCTGGTAGGAGGATGGCCATAGGCATGGATCCTGGACACCTGAAAGTAAGGCAGCCCCTGAAGGAAGGCCAGGTGCGTATGGGGACGGAGCAGCAGTCCCTCCCCATGGTGGCCACCAGGGCCACTTGGCAGTGCCCTGTGCCTTTAACTCCCTTTCACATTCTTGGAGACAATCAGAAGATTCAGTTCTAATTAGGCCACCTAAAGCTCAAAGATGGAGACAGCAGGAGGCAATGCCTGTAAAGCCAGCCAGGCTACCCAAGGGCTGAGGAGGCCCCATCTCCAGAGCAGAGCCCTCAGCTAGCCCTGCTGGAGGGCCCTGGAGGTGGACGCGCTCCCGCTCCGCTCCTGGGCACAGCTCTCAGCGCCACCGCCACCGCCACCGCCACCGCCACCGCAGGCCTGTGCTGGCTGTTCCCAGTGCCCAGGACGCCCCCCCCCCGTCCCCCATGGTCTGCTGCTCTGCTCCCCAGGTCTTCACTGGAATGCCACCTTCCTTCCCACCGCATCCCCTCAGAGCCATCCTGCTGAAAACGACAGCCCCATCCTCCCTTACTGAGGCATTTCTTCCAGTTTTGACCTATATAGTTCTATATTGAAACTGAATCATTTCACATTTTTTACTTCATATCTCAATTTCTCTACATTTGAGATATTTTCCTATTTCCCTTGTAATACAGCACTTTTATTGATCTGTATCATGTTTATCATCCGTCTCACTCACTGGAATTTTAGCTCATGACAGGTTTGTTTTGCTTGCTGGTCGGTGCTGCCCACAGCTATGCAGAGGCTGCGCATGGCCCCTGGCTGGTCTGGCTGGTGCCCTCACAAGGTGTGGGCACTGTGGGGCAAGGACTGTGCACTTCTCCGGGAAGTAGGAACGAAGGGTGAGGC